TATAGGTTCACTATGAGTCTGTACTGATTCGGTGACACCTAGCAATAACAACAATACCTTCATTGCTATCACTGCACACTTGCTAGAACTTTGACCAAAATATTAATAGCATTCTTACTTAGTTCTGATAGCAAAGGGAATACTGCTAACATTTCCCATTAACAAACAGTGATCCTCATCAAGTTAGGAAAGATGCTCTCTAATTCTTGTTTGCTAAGATTTTACCACGAATGGGAATTGAAGCATTTATCAAATTCAACTAATGACCAATGTTTCTTTCATTGTTAAGGTAGCAAAGTATACTTTTATCTGTTTGTTGCACCAATCTAGTATTTCTGGAATAAATGTGGTTAAAGTGCTGAGCTATTAACCAAAAGGTTAGCAGGCCTACCAGCCACTCTGCACAGGGAAGATGTGGCGGTCTGCTTCATAAAGATTTACAGTCTTGAAAATCCTATTAAGGCAGTTCTCTGTCCTATAGGGTAGCTATGAGTCAGAGAATTACCTTGATGGCAATGGATTTGGCTGGATTTATGCCATCATGTATTATATATAGTGATGGCTACATATTGCTTCTATTTTGCTTGGTTTTGGTAGGCAGTTATACCAGATTAACAGTATGAACTGGGTAGCATATTTTCCATTCTGTGTTGTTCATACAAACTTCAGTTCCTTGAATGTTTAGCCTGATGTTTTCTATATGGGTAGGTTTTTAGCTAATTATTTAATTTCCTTAATGGTTACAGAACTAATTCAACCGTTTCCTTCTGCAAATAATTTTATTTAGAAATTTATCACTTTCTAGGAATTTAGCCATTTCATCTACATTTTCAAAGTCATTTACATAAAACTATTTACACATTCTCTTTGTAGTTTCTCTATGGCCCTTGTTTGCCCCTCATATTGTGCCTTCTGTTTATTCCTGATAGCTTTGTCTAAAAATTTTATAGACTAATGTGACTTTACTGCTCCTTCCTATTATAGATTTCCTCTACTGAATGAATTTCTGCTCTTTGTCTTATTTTTCCTAATTTCTTTGCTTTTATACCCTTATTTACCTATGTCGAATGCTCACTTCATTTACTGTCAACAGTTTTACTTTTCTAACAGAAGCATTCAGATCTATGTTTCCTTCCTAATACCTTATAATTTTGATATGTAGTATTTTGTATGGTTCAAATTTTTTTTTAAAAGTTTTTATTGTGAATTGAGTGAAAGTTTATAGGACAGATCATCAGTTTTACATTCAACAAATCATATAATTGGTTTCTTTACAATGATTATAATCTCTATGCATCATCAGTTAACAGTATTTCTCTCTATTCATTTTGGCTCTTTTTTTTTTTTTAAACACACAGGCATATATAATAATTTAAACCACCAAAAGGCACATTCTGCAAGTCTACCTCCTGGCCGCCAGTTCTCTGTCCCTCACCCAAGAATCTATCCTCAGCCGCTCCCTTTCTCCATGTTCCCATCTCTGCCTCCATCTCTGGTGTCACTGCTTTTCTGGATAAGGTCCCGCATTCCGCTTATGCTATTCTCCCGTAATGGTCCTAGGGTCTCCTCTGTTTCTAGACTGTAAAATTAACTACTCCCCAGTTTTTGTTACAAAACTTCTCTACCTACAGTTATGGCAGTCACAATCAGTCATGAATCATAAGAATCTTATCCCCAACTCTTTTTACCAGACCCATCTAGACAAGGTGAAAACTATTCAGTGGGGACTCTATCTTCCCACACACACTGTTAAACTAAACTTCCTCTTGAAAACTTGTAAGCCAGTCACTTTGTGCCTTTATCGCCCCCTCATTTTCAGTAGCCAATGTTTAAGTTGCTTGTCCCTATGTACCCTGTATACAGAGAGGATAGCGATGATACTTGATGTGAAGATTCCTTCCCTCTATGTTGGTATTTTGAGCTACTACCTCCATGAGTACAAGTTACAAGTCAAGTTCATCAAATTGTAGCAATCTGCCCTCATTTCCTTTACCAAAAAAAAAAATATTTTTTAAAATTCTTCCTCTAGTTGAGTTCTGATTATCAAGCCATTGAGGCTAGGAAAAATGGGTACTTACTATCTGCAAGTTTGGGTGTTCTTGTGCCTCTCCCCTCACTTTGTATCAGCTGGACGCTTCACTCTCAGCTCTAGCCCTCTGTGGCTATGCCCCCGTCCATAGACTCAGGTGTCCCCAGGTGTCAACACACTTTGGACCAACAAGCCCTTCTTCACTCTCTCATCTCCAGGTCAACAGGAGTCTATGAAACGTGGTTGAACTCAGTCCATTTCTTCATTGCTGCCTTTCCCCCTCTTCCACTCACCAATAGACCAATGTGGTTGCCAGCAAGTTTACATGCCTGTTTATGTGTTCCCTTTGAGTTTTGGTCTTAGAGGGGGTTTGTCCTGAAGGGACTTGATGGCTTCTCGATGAACAACTTGCTTATTTTTGTAGTAGCCAATCATAGTGCCTATGGTTCAATTTTAAGTATTTTTGTTTTTCTGAGATTTGCTTTGTGGCTAAGTACATCGTCAATTTTTTTAAATGTTCTATATGAACCTAAGAAGAACATGTATTTTCTAATTGTGCAGAACACATCTGTTATACATCAAGCTTTTTTGTGGTAGGTTGAATAATGGTCCTAAAACAGTGCCATCCTAATTTATGGGACACGTGACTGTTACATTATATGGCAAAAAAGGACTTTGCAGATGTGACTAGATTAAAAATATTGAGATGAGAGATTTTTCTGGTAAGCACTCAGTGTATTACAAGGTCCTTATAAAAGGAAGGAAGAAAGGTAAAAAGAGGAATCAGATAGAATAGAAGCAAAGAATGGAGTGGTATGCTTTGAATATGGCAGAAATAACCAGAAGGCAATAAATACAGGCAGACCCCAGAAACTAGAAAAGGCTAAAAAAAATATGGACTTTCCCTAGAGCCTCCAGAAAGAACACTGGCTTACTGACTCCTTCATTTTAGACTTCTGACCTCCAAAATCTTATTGTTTTAAAAGCCACTAAATTTGTGGTAATTGGTTTCTGAAGGAATATAAAGCAAATACACTTTTGAAGAAGTATGTTCAAATCACCTCCATTTTCACTGGTTTTCTGTAAGCTTAAACCAAAACCACTGCCATGGAATCTGCTTACCTAGCAATAATTTAGAAAAGGCTCTACTCTGAATGTTTTCAATTGCTTCCTGAAGTTTCATTTACTTGCTTTATACATTTTAAACGGTTTTATAATTTATAATTTATCTTCCTGAAAAGATAAGCCTCTTATCATTATGAGGTATGAATCCATCTTATTTTATGCAGCGCTTTCTCTGTTTGAAAGTCTGTTTCAATGGAAATTAATGTAACTATCCTAGATTCCTTGGGCTATTTACCCAATGTATCTTTTTCACTTTTCCAGTGTGTGTATTAAGACATGTCTCTTGTAATCAGTATATAATCAGATTAAAAAAAATAAACTGGAAACTGTCTTAATCGACTAAATTCAGACCATGAACACTGATGCACTTTCTGATATAACAAATTTTGCATTTGTTTGTCTCATCCTTATGACTTCTATTTCCCCACTATTTCTATGCTTCTTTTGGCCACCTTGTCTTATTTTGAGGAAAGTGGAGGGCAAAGGAGGGAAAATGTTATGTTTTGCTTAATTGTTTTTTCTCATTCTATCACAAACCTCATTTTTGTTCTTCTAGTAACTGTAACTGTGTACTACGTCTCTATCTCCCTCCCCTCCTACTCAGCGCACAGTGATGTTTGCCCAACAATCACCTCAGAAAGTCAAGACAAACATTTTGAATTCCTATCACCTGTGTTTTCCAAGGTTCTTTCCTGATGCTTTAGCATTATCAGTTATCCCTTCTTTGCTGCTTTCACTACATCTGCCCCTAAATTTTCTTCAAGGGTAGAAAGTAGAAAACCAAATATGTGAGAATCTTAATGAAAGATAAACAGGTTCTAAGTGATTGCCTGAAGGATCTACTACACACAAAACTCACGGCATTTACTTTGTTTTATTATAGTTGAGATTTTAAAATAAGAATTCTTCTATGGTAACACATTTCTTATTAGAAGAAAAACAATAAAAATCTTTTAGAATGTTGTAAATAGTGTGGTTTTCCTTCAATCTGTTGTGCTAGATAGCATATATGTCGTTCTTTTAAGCAGTAAAACACAAAGCTAAAGATAAATGATGTTCTATTAATTACTGCTGGCACTAGGCTGATCTATGTAAAAAGATAATTTCATATTCTAGTTCGTAGTGTATTGTGAGTATGAAATTTCCATAAAACCTTCAGAGAATGAACTAAAATATATGTCTATAACTATCCTTTAAGGTGCTGTTTATTAATACATTATATTCTTTTGCATTGATTTTTAATGCTCAATGTCCTTTGTAGGGCTTGTTTAAATGTTCAGATTGTAATTTATGTCATGGTTGTTGCAAAATGCCATGGAGTCAGTTCCAACTCATAGCAACCTTGTATAGACAGGGTTTCAGAGGCAAGGCTGGTGGGTTTGAACCACTGACTTTATGGTTGGCAGTCCAGTGCTTATCTTACAGTGCCACACATGGACTCCATGTAATTTAGATAGGGCTTTAAATCATAAACTCAAGTCAAAAAATTATAGCCTACTGGAAATAAAGCCACAGACATGAAACTCTAACATAATGTGACATTCTCTCTGGTATTTTCATGATAATTTTACTAATATTCAATATTTAACATAGGTTTACACCAGGATCTGTTAAGTCCTCACACCATTTGTTTCAAAGAAGTACTTATTTACCCAGTTACAAGACAACAACATAAAATACAGCAAAATAAGCTTATGTTTGCCAACCAAAGAATGTAATAAAAATGCAACAAATGGCATACAGTCCAAAAACTGAGAAACTCCCAGCTAGACCAAAGTCACTGAATTTCTCTCCTGTCAGAATGTTAAGTTGAGAGGGTATTAACTAGTCATAATCTAATTCCTACCAGCTAAAGCAGCATCCTCTTCACTTTCTGAGCCATACTGAAGTGCCATCGTAATTGCTGATAAGCGACCCCCTTGGACAGCTCTTTTATTACTACAAAGAAAAACAAGCAATTAGGAGACAGGGAAAAATGTTATGATAATTTGGTTACTTTATAGGAAATAGGATTTGTTAAGAAAGCATTCACGTTGAAGAGAAAAATTCTATTTAATGACTTCAATTTATCTATGTCCTTCTTAAGGTAATCAACCATAATCAACCTTAGCTGAGAGGACTGATTTTTTTTTTTCTCTTAGAAAACAGGGAGTGGTGGTAGAGAGCCTAGAATAGGTTAACTTCCATTTGTTTTTTACTTAAATGCATACGAATCCTTGTTTTATGAAAAATAAGGATTGAATCACAACTATCGGCCACTTTCTCCTAAGATGCTCATAATTTACACTGAACATAAATTCTAAATAAATTAACATAAAGTTTATATTCAATGACCCATTTTATTGGTTACCGAACATTGAATACTGCCTGACAAATAGCTTCTGTTAAAGTATTTTCTGAGAGGTGAGTCAGATATACTATAAGTTTAAAAAACAAAAGCAAAACAAAACAAACAAAAAAACCAGATGGTAACAAATTATTATAATAATTAAATCCAAAAATATTACTTCAAGATATGCATCAAGCAAACAGTAGAATGCCTGACCATGTAAGAATTGGTCAGCTCTCACACCTAACACACACATGCATACACACACACTCTCATTTGCTCACCGGTAATACTTGCTAGTAGGATTTCTCTCTTCACTAAGGCTGCCTTTACCATGTGAGGAACCCGTGAGCCTGGCTGTAGCCAAATTTGATGCCGTTCTATCAAGAGATAAGATAAAAAGCAACAACAAAAAAACAGCTCAGAAACCTGACAGCTGAAATCAGAAACAAACTCATATATGTAAGATTAGAATTGGATGTACAAAAAGGCTGAAGGACAAGGGAATAGCAGTTTTCTTCCTCTTTTCTAAATATAAATGATGCTCAAATATTTCTGAGTTCCTGTTATGAAACAGGCTCTGTTCCAGAACCTAAGAACTCTGCAGAAGAAAGCAGACAAGGACCTATCCTCCATAGCACTTACATTCACTTCAGTGATCAGAGAGCCTGGTAATGAAACAAAGGTTAGGGTCAGAAGAAAGCTTCAGCAGTAGCCACCCAAGCCTCCCATTTGGGTAGGATAAGACAAAACCCAAGAACAAGACTTGTTCAAAGTCACATATAATCCAAGTTGAAGGACAAGTCATGCTGAGATTTTAGATCTCCTGATACCAACCTAAAGACACTTATGGAAAAATATAATCACATACAACTATATAAATGTATAAAGCAATTAAAATACATAGCAATGTTAAGCCTTAAAAAACGTTTCCTTTTACATAGTGGCTAAGAATAGACTAGGTAGACATTATTTGACTTTCTTCAGAACCACATTATCAATTACACATAAAACCTTGAAATGCAATATGTATCTTGTTTTCTCTACTGTGTTGATTCCACTAGCTAGAAAATCTGTCGAATAATAAAGGCACAAAGATCTTAAACATTTTTTAACATACCTTATTCTAAGGCTTGACTTAGTCATTTCATGATGTTCAATTTCTGCCTTTTTCATATAAAATATTTTTTTAATTGAATTTGCATCCTGTCAAGATAAAGACAATTTGACTTAAAAAGCAGAAAGTTTAACACGTCTTCACTCATGGATTGGGCATCATCTATAGTACCTTCTTCCATTGTCAGTATACTTCCATTGAGTATCTACAAAGTTGCATTCTCTTATCTTTCTACAACCTTCCAAAAACAGCTTCACTATGTTGTCACTAATGAAATACTGTTGTTGTTAAGTGCCGATGAGTCGGTTCCCACTCATAGCAACCCTGTACAGGGTTTCTGAGAAGCAGGTGGTAGGTGTGAACAGCTTAACTTGCACTTATCATTCCATTCTTATCCTACAGTGCCACACCAGGAATCCTAATTAAATAAAAGTTAAACAATAGTTTTTTCACACTTATTAAGTAGCTTTTAAGTATCTATATCTGGTAGCATAGTGGTTACGAAACGGGCTGCTAACCTCAAGGTCAGCAGTTCGAAACGACCAGCGGTTCTGCGGGAGAAAGATGAGGTGGTCTGCTCCCATAAAGATTTACAGCCTCGGAGACCCTGTGTAGGATCACTATGAGTTGGAACTGACTCCACGGTACTTAACAACAACAACAAAACAGGGAAAAAAAGGGAATGAGGAAAACTGGAACTCTACCTGCCCATGCTAAACTACAAACTGAAAGACATAACCATAAGATTACAAACTATGAAAACAAATTTAGGATTAATGAACTTTCTTAGACTAATAGCACACTAATATGTAAAATACATACTTTTACTTATCTTGACAATCTAGGTTAGGGGAAATAAAAAAGCAGAATTCTTAATTTTATCAACTAACAATACTATACTATTTAAATGTCCTATCAAGAGTAAGAATACAAATGAATTCATAGTTCGTTCCTAGTTTTTACTGTTTCTTAAAAGATGAAAATTTAGCAATACCTACTCACAGCAACTGTCAGCTTTCTAAGAGTCTAATGATTTTACTCCAAAAGATGTTCTGAGCATTTGCCAAATCTCCACTAGCTTATCATTAATTCAGAAAAGTTCCACAAGCAACCAGTCATTACAGCATGACAAAACTTACAAGAAGGAATTGCAAAGCAATGAGTTGCAAAGTCAATTTACACTTAGTATCACACACTACAAACAATGCTTCTTATATTATGAAGTTTAAATGAAGGGAATAAATCAATATTCAAATAAGGGACCAAAACTAATCTTTTATGACGTAAGACAGACATATATGAATGGATTAGAACTAAGAATTCAGAAATGAACCCACATATCTAAACTAAGGTCACTTGATTTTCAACAAGGGCACCAAGATAACTCACTGGGGAAAAGAATAATCTTTTCAACATGTAACACTGGGACAAATGAATATCCCATGTTAGAAGAATGATACTGGTGTTCTACATCATACTGCATAAACATTTAATTCAAACATATCAAAGACCTAAAGGTAAAAGCTAAAAAACTTTTAGAAAAAAAATAAAGAAAAAGCTAAGTGTAAATCTTCATGATCCTGAATTAGGCAGCAGTTTCTTAAGATTTGACACTTAAAACACAAGAAAAAAAATAGATACACTTGACTTCATCAAAATAAAAAGTTTTGATTCAAATGAAGCCATCAAGAAAGTGAAAAGAACTCATAGAATGGGAGAATACTGTTGCAAATCATGTATCTGATATGGATCTAAATCTAGAATATATAAATAATTGTTTCAACTCAACAATAAAAAGACAAATAACCCAATTTAAGATGGGCAGAATATTTCAACAGACATTTCTTCAAAGATACACAACTGATCAATCAATATGCACATGAAAAGATGTTCAATATCAGTGTCACTACAAAATACAAATCAAAATCATATATTAAGATACTACTTCACATGCACTAGGATGGCTGATGATTTAAAACAGATAAGAAGTGTTGGTGATGATGCTGAGAAACTGCAACCCTTATACAATGCCAGTAAGAATGTAAACTAGTACAGCCACCATAGCAAAAAATTTTGACAGTGTGATCAGAAAGATGTCAGCTTGAAGACTAAGGTGCGCCTGACCCAAGCCATGGTATTTTCAATAACCTCATATGCATGTGAAAACTGGACAATGAATAAGGAAGACCATAGAAAAATTGGTTGCTTTTGAGTTATGGTGTTGGAGTAGAATATTTAAAGTGCCATGGGCTGCCAAAAGAACCAAAAGATCTGTTTAGGAAGAAATGCAGCCAGAATGCTCCTTGGAAGCCAAGATGGCCAAACTTCGTCTCTCATACTTCGGACATATTGTCAGGAGGGACCAGTCACTGGAGAAGGATGTCATGTTTGATAAGGTGGAGGGTCAGAGATAAAGAGGAAGACGTGTAACGAGATGGAATGGCCATATGGCAACATCCATGGACTCAAGTGCGGCAACAGTAGTGAGGTTGGCCCAGGATTGTGCAGTGTTTCGTTCTGCTGTGCACAGTGTTGCTATGGGTAGGTGCCAATTCAATGGCACCTAACAACAACAAGAGAACTGAAAACAGATATCCACACTAAAGCACAGAAACTTTCATAGCAATATTTTTCATTTAAGTCATACGTGGAAACAACCAAATGTCTATCAACTTATGAATGGATAAACAACAGGATATTATATAGCAATAAAAATAAATGAAGTACTGATACAACATGCATGAACCTTGAAAACACTACACTAAGAAAAAGGGACCACTCCACAAAAGACTGCGTATGATTCAATTTTCCATGAAATGTTCACAACATAAAAATTTATAGAGACAAAAAGTAGACTGCTGGTTGCTTCAGAATGGGAGGTTAGGGGGAAAAAATAGAGAATGATTGTTTATGAATATGGGGCTTATGAGGTGAAGGAAATATTCTAAAACGGACTGTGGTGATGGTTTCACAACTCCGTGAATTAATCTAAAAGACATTATATAGTACAATTTAAATCAATGAATTATATATGTGAAATATATCTTAATAAAAGTGTTGCATATAAAAAATACTGACCCTAAATTACCATTGGAAAAATAACAATAAAACTAACCTTGAATACTTGAGAACCGGGTTCATTATAAGTTTTGGCATTTTTTGCTAGGAGATCTATATCTTTGGCCATTGCGTGAATACTTTTGTAACTTCCATTCTGCAGTAAACAACAAAATATACCAGGTCCTCTTAATGAGAATTAATCAGTATGACCTTAAAAAAAAACTCCACATTATTTAAAATGCCATTATATTCTATGACTTTATATGTGAGTTATACATAAAGTACTTGATTCTCTTATGGATTACTACTACTGCACATTTACAAATGGGACTGCTAACCACAAGGTTGGTGGTTGAAACCCACCAGCTGCCCTCTGTAAAAAAGGGAAGCTATTAGTCAGAACAGACTCAACAACACTTAACAACAACAATTTAGAAAGAAGTTTTTGAGATAAGTAATAAAATTAAAAATACTTTATTTTCCTAAAAATAACAAAATTAACAAAAAATCATATTAGTAAAAGTTGTCTTATCAAACATAGTGTTTACTACATACCAAGCACTGTTGTTATGAGTATCTCATGAGTCATTAAAGTGAGGTTTAAAAGTATGAAGCAAAACTCTTTTAGCTACATGGACCAGTTGAGACAAAAAAAGAAATCTCACACCAGCATTGGGGCTAACGTTTTGTGAGTACTAGGCTCCATGTTAGAGCTTTTACATCTTAAAGTTCACTCAATCCAAAATAACCCAGGGAGACTGATATATAATAAAACCTGCAAAAGCTAGAGCATGTTGAAGGCAGAAACCTGTCAGAAGAAAAATGCAAATATTTTCCACTAATAGTTGTTCTTAAGTGCCCTTCAGTTAGTTCCGATTCATAATAGGGTTTCCGAGGCTTTAAATCTTTTATGGAAGTAGAATAGAAAAGTGGTAAACGGAATCCTGTCAACGGCAGGAAACTTGCTAGACTTGGAAAAACAAGGAGTTCCGGCTTTCACAGGTTTCACTGTAATTGATTTACCTAGAGAGAAACTCTAGGTAAAAGGTACATATGAGTCATGAGAGGAAAACCAAATTGAATATGACATGTTCCAGAGACTGAGGAGACTAAACTGAGTGGAGGGTAGGAAAGGGTAGAACCATAAGCAAAGGCTACAAAAGCAGAGTAAATACAATTAAATCAGAATCCAGCGAGCCAGGGTATTTGCCACGTGGGGCTACTCAGCATCTGAGTAATCTTACATTGAGGGAATACCAGTACAAGTGATAGGCAGGATCCCACCTCCCACTACAGAGGGTGAAAGTGGGCAAATGGTTGCTTTGTGTGCAGTCTGGCAGCCAGGGTGAGTGGCATTCCTGGGGCTTGAGGGACTAAAGCAATGATGAGGGAATGGTAGGAATAAATTCCTAGAGCTCAGGTGGCACTATAGATTAAACACTGGGCTAACCACAAGGTTGGTGTTCAAATATACCAGTTGCTCTGAGCCAGAAAGATGAGTCTATCTGCTCCCATGAAAACTGAGATCTCAGAAACTCTAAGGAACAGTTCTACTCTGTCCTATAGGGTACTGAGTTGGAACTGACTCTGTCCTATAGGGTAGCGGTTTTTGATTTTGATAGGGGAGAAAAGCCCAGCAGACAGTCAATTTACACTTGGTATCACACACTACAGACATCTCATCAAGTGTTCCAGGCACCCAGTGGTAAATGACAGTGGTAACAGCAATGGTGCCACAGAAAGGCTGTTTGGGATCTTAGCTGTGCCATGATTTTTCTGAGTTCCCATTTTCTTAGCTAGTTCTCCAGCCTACCTTCCCCTAAATTCTACGTGCTATCTAAGAATTTTTACATAAATTATTTTTTTGCGTAAGTTAGACAGAGTTGGTTATTGTTAAAAGGGGTACAAGGAGCTGCAACTAGTTTCAGCAAAAGTAGAAAACAAATGACTTAAATCTCTGGGCAGTGGAATGGCAGGAAAAAACTCAAAGCAACATGCAGAAAGGAATGGAGAGTCTTTCATCGAGAGGGTAGGAAAGAACACATATATAACTTGAAAATATGAGAACAAGGATGATTAGAGTAGAAAAAACAAAAACAGTGACTATGGGCTCTTTGGAAGAAAGGACAACATATGAGAGAGCACACAGAAGTTTGGAGAGGTGTTTAAAGATCAGATGTGATTTTTCAGTATTATGAAAACATCTTCCCCTAAATAGATATTAGAGATCCCAAGCCTTCAGGGTACTGGATCATTCTCTGTATCAGGTATTGTTGCTGTTAAATGCCGCTGAGTTGGGTCCGACTCATAGCAACCCTATGCACAACAGAACGAAAACCATTCAGTCCCGTGCCATCCTCACGTTTACTGCTACGCTTGAGCCTACTGTTGCGTTACTGTGCCAATTCATCTCATTGGTAGGTCTTCCTCTTTTTCGCACACTCTCCACTTTATCTCCTGATAATAAGTTTGAAGTATGAGAGATGAAGTCAGACCATCTTGTCTTCGAAAGAGTGTTCTTAGTTGTACTTTACGCAACACAGATTTGCTTGTTCTTCCTTGATACCTTTAATATTCTTCTCCAACACCATAATTTAAACGCATCAATTTTTCTATGGTCTTTCTCATGCACTGTCCAACTTTCACAAGCATATGATGCTACTGAAAATATCCTGGGTCAGATGCGCTTTAGTCCTCAAACTGACACTTTTCCTCTTCAACACTTTAAAGAGGTCTTGTGCTACAGATTTGCCTAATGCATTAAGTCTTTTGATTTCTTGAATGCTATTTCCATGAGTGTTGATGGTGGATCCAAGCAGATGGTAGATCCAAGCAAAATGAAGTCTTTGAGAAATTCAATCTTTTTTCCATTTATCATGATGTTATTTATTGCTTCAGTGGTGAAGATTTTTGTTTTCTTTATATTGAGGTTGCAACCCATACTTTTTGAAAGCCTTTCCTGGTATTGCATTTCAGGATAATGTGCTGGAATGCAAGGTCACTTTGAGTTGCAAGGTCAGTGGTTCAAATCAACCAGTCCACTCTTCAGAAACCCTATACAAGGTCACTATGAGTCAAAACTGACTCAACAGCACTCAACAACAACAACATAACAATTTCAGTAACAGTTTAAAAAAAAAAAAAAAAAAAAAGCAGCCTTTATGACCAAATGAAGCTTTCACAATCAGAAATGCTTATTAGGAATGCTTTCTAATTTTTATCCTAAGAGCAATGTTTACTATGTCAGAGAGAATTTTGCTTTGCTCTAGAGAAAAAAAATAAAAAAGGACAGCAGTCATTAAGCTGCCTCCTCCAAAGTTACAATCAGTAACACTACCCTAATCTGTGTACGTTAAATTGCTAATAACCCATTATACAGACATCTACTTCTCTTGTTTCCTAAAAGTAGGTAAGTGCTATCAATTCAGTTCAGACTTGTAATAACCCTGGATAGGGTTTCTGGGAGCAGCTAGTGAATTTGGACTGCTGGCCCCGCAGTTATTAGTCCAGTGTTTATCCTTTACTGCTAAGCCCCTTAAAAAAAAAAAAAGATTAATCTGCCCTAAACCATATATGGCTACCTTCATACCTGTATCCTCTGGGCAATGGTCTTGAGATCTATAGGCTCCTTAATTATTGCATAATAGTCTGGATATTGCTGGAAAACAAAAATCAATTGAGCAGTTGTATGAGATGCAACGCAACATACACAATTGTGCAGTTTTTTGTTATATGAGGAGGCTTCAGAAAGTTTGTAGAATAATGGAATCAAAAGACAACAGAATTTTCCCGAAAACTTTTTGAAGTCCCCTTGCATATGAAGCAAAACTGATTTGATTTCAATAAAATATCCAATAACATGTTATAGGATACACTTGGAATTTATCATTATACCACAAACACACTACCACCTAATGTTTTTAAAAGTCCTAAACTCACAGAATCATACAAGCTTGAATTTAAGGTCTTAAGACATCCATTCCCGGAAATAAAACAGAGAAATGTTCTTCAAGAGCTTATTATAATCTTTTAAAATTTCCTCATATCCTATTTCTTAAAATAATTCTCAAAAATCAAGAAGTCAGGTTGTAAGATTTGTAAGCTTCATGTTTAACTTAACGCTTCTACTTGTTTCAACCAAAATTAACTATTTAGTTTTCCCATAAAACACATTTTAAATGAAACTGTATTAAAGAAATAAAGTAAAATTGAAACCAATTTCTGATTTCTTATCAAGTATCAGCCCATCATAAGAAAAGTCAAGCATGTCGAGGGGATGTTCTTAAAGGATCTCACAATGCATTGTGTGCCTAAAGCTTTTCTATAGGTTAAATTGTTCAGAGGAAATGAGTGAAGTGGACCAAAAATCAAGTTGGTCTCCTTGAGTGAGAGAGGTCTCCAGACTCTTCTGATTTGTTCATACTCTACTGGAGCCAGAGCAGCAACAACAAAAGGCAGGAGACCATAGTCTGCACCCAGCTACTGGATTGAGGGGATGATCTCAATGTTGCTTCGTCTCTGTCTGGACCCTCATTTTCCCCTATTTTCCTCATCCTAATCTTCCTTTGTTGGCATAAATACTTTTCCTGCCGTTTCTGCTCTTGAGCAACTCCATCTTTGAGAAACAGTTCAGAAGACAAATTGGTAAAGCCATCCGGTTTGAAGTATGGAGTTATTCAGGCTATTGGTTCTTGTACTCCCAACTTTTTTATTGTGCTCAGTCAGCTATCACCTGGGAAGTACTTAAAAAAGGGAAAATAAATAAAAATTGCCCTCTTTCTCCAGGTTTTAGTCCATGTTGTCTGAAGGACCAATGGGAACCTACTTTCCCCAACCAAATCCGGCTACATGGTATCCCATAAGGCCCTTCTGGAATGGGGCACCCAGATACAGATGTTCTACTGTGTAAAGTCACCCTTGGTGGCTCCATCACTATTGATTACCTGCTATAGAATATGATCTGAATAATGATTATTCTCTTATCATTTTAAATCATATGGCAAACATATATATTTCTGATCAGATACACACCAGAAGAGCAGTGATCAGAGGCTTTACTTTTAATATTATGACAATCCTACAACTAATCAAGACACACCTTTAAATAACTAGTCTTGTCAATGACTAGTGGGGGAAACTGCATGCCACTCATCATTTAACAAGCACTTCTTATATACCTATCATTATGATGGGGCCTAAGGAGCTCTGGTAGTGTAGTAGTTACAAATTGGGATTCTAACCTCAAGGTCAGCAGTTTGAAATTACCAGATGTTCCGCGGGAGAAAGATGAGGCTTTCTGCTCCCATAAAGATTTGCAACCTTGGAAACCCTGTGCAGGGTCACTATGAGTCGGAACCAATGCCACAGTACTTAACAACAACAACTACATGTTGGGAACAGAGAAATGAACATGGCAAGGTTATTGTCCTCAAGAAATTCAGGAGCTAGGAAATGAGACAAATAGAAAACTGAGACAAATGAGACAAAAAGATAAATGACCTTGAGGACTTAGATCTATAGTCTCGGGGAATACCTAGGTCAGCTGGCAAAGCATAATCCATAAAGACAACATTCTACATCCTATTTTGTTGAGTTACAACTGGGGTCTTTAACAGCTTTCAAGCAGTCATCTAAGACACAGCTTTTACAACCAGAGCAAAGAAAAGTGAAGAACATCAAAGACTCAAGGAAACAATCAGTCCAAAGGAATAATGGACTACACAAACCACATCTCTACTAGCCAGAGGCCAGAAGAATTTGATGGTGCCCAGCTACCACAACCAACCCCTCTGATAAGGATCCCAATTTTATACCAGTAAAAATGTACAACAAAATTCAAATTCATATCAGAATTATGGATCTGACAGAGACTGGTGGAAGCCCTTAGACAACCTTCAAATCTGGAACTGAATTCACCCTCAGGGATTACCATTCAGGTAAACAACAATCAGGTCTATAAAGTGAACAATAACATCTGTAAAGTACATGTTTCTCAGAACAAGACCCAAAGCATTTGCTCAGAAGGCAGGAAGGGACAGAAAAGATAGGTAAATAGAAACAGGGAACTAAGGGAGGAAAAGGGAAGAGGGCTATTATATTGAGGGGGTTGCAACTAAAGTCACAAAACAAAATGTGTATGAATTGTTGAATGGGAAACTAATTTGCTCTGCAAACTTTCACCCCACACCTAAGACAGGCAGCGTCCCTTAAACAATCAATAAATAAGGAGGATTCGGATGCAGACCGTGCAGACCCGGTCAGGAGGCCAAGACCCTGTGGGCCCAAGCATTGTTGACCATCCAAACCATAGGCTCTGAGGATCAGACTCTAGCTACCTAGTAGACATAGCAAACTGTCCCTCATCTGATTATTCAGTAATGCCATACATGAGCCCTGGATATCCACAGACAAATGTAAAAACCTTCCCTAAAAGCCGAGACTGTAAATTCCAAAAAGGCAAGTCCCCCGCCATCCATCCAAAAAAAAAAAGCTAAAGAGGATAGAGAGAAACACTGTAAACTGATGATATATGGAGGGGATAATAATCAATGTAATGAAACAAGCTATATGAATGGTTGAATGTGAAGCTGATGATGTGCCCTGTAAACTTTCACTCAATGCAAAATAAAAACATTAAAAAAAAAAAAAACTTTCACCCCAAACCACACTATTGAAAAAACAAAAACTTAACTTCTTCAGGGAGAGCAGAGTCTAACAGGACAAAAGTATACAAATGGAATAAAAATAACACTGAGCTGGACATAAATCAAACAAAAAACTGTGAGCTAGTTTATATGCTGCTGCAGTGCATAAACCGACTTAAGACAGCCCTTCTAGCTGAGGTTCTCCATTTTGTGATGGAACGTAAATCCTAGCCTCTACAGTCAACAGCACTTACCAACAAACAACATGCTTATGGTTAAGAAGCCCTGGTGACATAGTAGGCTAAGTGTTGGGCTGCTAACCGCAAGGTCAGTGATTCAAAACTACCAGATGCTCTGAGGGAGAAAGAGGAGGTTATCTGTTCCCATCAAGTGTTACAGTCTTACAAACCCTTAAGAGCAGTTCTACTCAGTCCTATGGGGTCACTATGAGTCAGAACTGATTCAGTGGTAGTTGCTCTTATGCCTGTACTTAGGGTCTTATTTTGTAATGAGTTATCCATTATGTTACTGAGGCAGGATTAGGGTGGGATGTATCTGAGACACCACCTTACTTGAGGTTGTGACTTAAGTCACCACCCTTAGTTTCCCTGAGGATGTGGTCTGCATCCAATATATAGGAACGCTTTCATAAAGTTTGTTCTCTTGTTCTAGGATTCTATATCTGACTCATCTTTATCTGACCTCTGCTACTTGAGACTTAAGCTGAGTTATCAGCTTCTCAGCCTCCTGTTGTTGGACCTGAAAATTTGAGTTCATCAGCTCCCACAATCACATGAGTGAAGAGAATCCTCCAGACTCACACCTGGCCCATGGATCTGGGATCTGTCACTCTGTACAACTGTGTGAGTCACTCTTTTAACTGTTCATGATTTCTGTGAGACATTGCAGAGAACTGTGGAACCCTAAAACAGGAGGGAGGATATGGAAGGGAGAAAGATTAGCTGATATCGAGATGATGGAGTAGTACAATACTTCGGAAAAGTTTGACATTTGAGATATTTTTAACCTCCACTTCATAGGGACCAGTCTTGTGCTGGTCCTTTTTTAAAAGAAATTACTCATGCAAAAGCACTTAACACAGTACCAAGCATATAGTAAATGATATATGTTGTTGGTGCTAAGTGCTGTTGAGGTGATTCTGACCCATACTGACCCTGTATAGGGTGTTTCCAAGGAGCAGTTGGTGAGCTTGAACCACCGACCTAGCAGTTCAAATGATTTTACAGTCTGACGCATTAGCTCACGGTGCCACATCAAGACTCCAAATGATATCTAAATACTGGTTATTATTATACCCCCAAATGCAAAATTTTGGGTTTTTTTGTCATTTCAACCATTGTAACTCTTATTCCAGCTCCTTCCAAACCCAGATAGTGGTATGGATAAGGAAGGATCTAGAACAGTGCATATACAAAAAGAAAAAAACCCAAAATGATCGCAATTAAGTTACACAGTGGAGTATTTTAGAACGTATGTTGTCAAGTGCCTTCAAGTCGGTTCCAACTCATAGCTATCCTGTATAGTGTTTCCTAGGACTGGCTGATGGGTTTGAACCACCAATCTATGGTTATCAGTCCAGTGATTATTCTACAGTGCCAAACCAGGACTCCTTAGAATGTTATGTTGCTGTTGTTGTTAAATGCTGTTGAGTTAGTTCCGACTCACAGTGACTCTGTATAGAGTTACTGAGGAGTGGCTGATGGGTTTGAACCACTGTCCTTGTGGTTAGCAGTCCAGTGCTTATCCTACAGTGCCCACCAGACTCCTTAGAATCTATGTTGTTGTTGCCCTTAGTTGACACTGAGTAGGTTCTAACTCATGGTGACCCTGTGCAGGATTTGCGAGGAGCGGCTAAGTAGACTTTAAAAAGACCTTGAGGTCTAGTGCATGACGATGCAGCGTTACACCAGGACTCCTCAGAATGTACAACCTTGTCTAACTATCTAAGAATATGACGGCCACAGAAATTATTTTTAGATCCAATAGTTCAAGTAACTCAAACCTATAGCTATGTTAGCAATGACCTCTTGGGTATGAACTGTAGGAGTTCTAACATTTTTAGAGTCTCACTTGTCCAGAAAACCTTTTCCTTTTTGGAGAAGAATACCTAATTTGTTTCTCTCTCCCCACCATCAGGAGATCAAGAAGAACTAGGAGGGGAAGAACTCCATTCTCTTCCTCTCACCCTTTTCTCTATGCAAAGAAAATGTGTCTTCCTTATTATAAATAAAAGACTTAGCATAGATGCTTCCTTTATCATTTGAGAATTGCCAACAAAAGAAACCAAAAACATAATTTTTTTTAAACCCACATCTTCTTGGCTAAGTAAATAAAAGAACATATCTTTGTGCCTTGCTAAGACTACAACGATCCATTGGCTGCATCCAACATCTTGTTTTATTTACAAAGAATAAAAAAATTTGATGTCCTTAAAAATAATCAAATATCTCTATTCACCAGTCTTTAATTATATCACTTACCACTTTAGAGGGCAGTTTCTGAAAAAGTTCACTAATGAGATGTCCTGACGGATTTGTGGCTACAACTATGGCTTCAAGAAGCTGCTCCAGAATCTCCTTCAAGTAACTTGGAGAAGACTAAGGGGAAGGTGGAACAGTGAAGGGAAAAAAGTACTTTGTGAGAAAAAAAAAAAAAAAATGCTATACATTAAATTCTTCCTAAAATCATAATAATGAAAATATACCAGTCATAAGAAGAGCCAAAGAAAGCATGTTCTAAGCAGAGGCAAGAACAACTGCAGAGCTCCAGAGGCAGGAACACATTTGGCATCTTTTAGGAATAATGCTCAACCTACAAAAATACTCCCAACTTTTCATCACAACCTACTCTGACAAGATGTCTAAGTCTTGCAATATTGGACCAGTCCTTAATACGAAGATTCTCTTTAAAAGTGAGCTACAAATATGCTATGCCTTAGTACAAGAGGAGTTTGTGAAAACCATCTCTCACACACACACAATACACATACACACAGTCCTAGGTTCCCCTTGTAACTGGACTGGAGTCTCTGGTCCCATATGCCTGCTTAACCTTCTAGTTGCCAAGACAATTACACAAGAAACACAGCTTACTCATAGCAGCCCACAGAAATTCACAAGCAGGAGACATACCTGTCTACCTTCCAGAGAGCCCACCCAACACAGTTTCCAGCTGCACTTACTCCATCAGTCACTGTCCCTTGATTGTCTTGGCCATCTTCATCATCATCTTCATCATCTGCTTCTCCTTTCTGAACAAACTCATTTCTTGTTCGAAGGTACAAATCCCAGAGTTTACAAGCAGCTTTATACTCAGGAGAATCTGGCTATACGTTAGAAAAGAGAAAAAAAATATATCATTCTAGTGTTTTTTATTGAATGTCAATTATAACTACTTTTAAAGCACCCTGTCCCAGCAGAAACTTGTATTCTAAGATATAACTTTGGAAACTCATTACAAATTTAACAATCCTAATGACTTCAGGAAAAAAACCCTTAGGGCACAATGGGTAAACAATCAGCTACTAACTGAAAAGTTGGTACTTCCAATCTTCTCAATGGCTCTTGCAGGAGAAAGATCTGGCAATTTGCTTCTATGAAGATTAAACCTAGGAAACCATATGAGCATTTTGACTGTCCTATAGGAGACAGAATCAACTCATTGGCATACAATAACAACAATCATCTTTATGAACAACTAAGTGTTATGTTTTCAAGGAATTCTAGAATTAAATTGGAGAGCACAGTTGTTGTTATGTGCCGTGGAGTCGGTTCCAACTCTTAAGCTACCCTGTACAGGGTTTCCGAGGCTGTAAGTCTTTATGGGATCAGAAAGCCTCATCTTTCTCCCACAGAACAGCTGGTAGTTTCGAACTGCTGACCCTGTGGTGAGCAGCCCAATTTGTAACCACTACGCTACCAGAGCTCCTTGGGGAGCACAGTGGCTCCATATAATAAGCACTGGACTGAGAACCACAAAGTCTGTGGTTCGAGACTTCCAGCTGTACCACGAGAAAAAGATGAGGCTTTCTGCTCCAAAAAAGATCTAAAGCCTCGGAGACCCTATACAGGTTGCTATGAATCTGAACCCACTCGAAGGCACTTAACAACAACAAAATTAAATTATTTTACTTATTTATGCTCTACCTCATTACAGAAAGACTTAAGGCAGACATAAATGGCTTTCTAAACTAGGTGAATTATTTTAAAAAATGAGAGTGTGATGCCTCCATACAAAAAGTATTGGACTGCAAACCACAAAGTTGGCAGTTCAAGCCCACCAGCTGTTCCATGGGAGAACGATAAGGCTTTCTGTTTCCACAAAGATTTACAGCCTGGTAAATCCTATGCAGGGTCGTGATGAGTCACAATTAACTCAACAGCATTTAACAACAACAACAAAAATTAATAAAACACTAAGAGAGAAGAAAAACAAACAAACAAAAGCACTGAGAGAGAATTTGAAGATAAAAAATCTAAATTACAGAAGCTAATGAATGTGCTGATATTTTCATTTTTAAACTATTTAATACTTACTTGAAGATTTCTGTTCCTGTAGTGTAACAGGCATGAACCCTCACAGATTTTTCTATTAAAAATGATGTTTGACACAATGGAATATTATGCTACCTTAAAGAATAACAAGGAAACAGCAAGCCACCACATAACATGGATGAACCTTGAGAACATTGTGTTAAGTGAAATTAGTCACAAAAGGAGAAATACTGCATAGGACCACTTGTGTAAAAGACTAAGAAAAAGAACCCATACTAAAGGGGGTGGGGGGAATTCTTTGTTGGGGGTGGGTGAGGGGAGGGAGGGG